CTCCATTTCCCTCTCTCCCTTTCTCCTTTTCTCGAATATCCAGTATTTCCCGCTGTATTTTGATAGCGGGCTTCGGACTGTAATAATGATGCAGGTCGATTGAATGAATGGCTGGGAGGGAAGGGAAGAAGGGAGGATGGGAGGGAGGGAGGGAGGGGAGAAGGGGGAAGGGAGGGTGGGAGGGAGGGAGGGAGAGAGGGGAGAAGGGGGAAGGGAGGATGGGAGGGAGGGTGGGAGGGTGGGAGGGAGGGATGGAAGGAGTGAGGGGAAAGAAGGGGGAAGGGAGGGAGGGAGGGAGGGAGGGAGAGAGGGGAGAAGGGGGAAGGGAGGGAGGGGAGGGAGGGAGAGAGGGGAGACGGGGGAAGGGAGGGTGGGAGAGAGGGAGGGAGGGGAGGAAGGGAGGGAGGGAGAGAGGGGAGAAGGGGGGAGGGAGGGTGGGAGGGAGGGAGGGAGGGGAGGAAGGGAGGGAGGGAGAGAGGGGAGAAGGGGGGAGGGAGGGTGGGAGGGAGAAAGGAGGGAGGGGAGAAGGAAGGAAGGGTGGGAGGGGAGAAGGGGGAAGGGAGGGAGGGGAGAAGGGAGGAAGGGAGGATGGGAGGGAGGGAGAGAGGGGAGACGGGGGAAGGGAGGGTGGGAGGGAGGGAGAAAAGGAGGGAGGGGAGAAGGGAGGAAGGGTGGGAGGGGATAAGGGGGAAGGGAGGGAGGGGAGAAGGGAGGAAGGGAGGATGGGAGGAAGGGAGGATGGGAGGGAGGGAGAAAGAGGAGAAGGGGGAAGGGAGGGTGGGAGGGAGGGAGGGAGAAAAGGAGGGAGGGGAGAAGGGAGGAAGGGTGGGATTGGATAAGGGGGAAGGGAGGGAGGGGGATAATGGGAAAGAGAAGAGGGGAAAGAATGGAGGGTAGGGGGAGGGGGAGGGGATAGATGATTCAGCATTAACAGGGGGAGGGGGGGGGAAGGGGTAGAGGTGGAGGGGGACGTGACAAACGCGCGGGCTTTGCTGTCGGGCCAATAAGTGTGTGTTGGGGGATGGGAGGGGGGGGGAGCACGGTACGAGTGCGAGCACGTAGGGGGAAGAGGGGGGGGGGTAATGGGAGGTAATGAGGAGTAATGGGAGTTGGTTAATGGCTGTCTGTCATGAGTGTGCTCGTTTTCCTTTCCATATTTCAAAGGTATAGACAGGCATACCGACACACATACACAGAGGACGTATATCAGTGTGTGTGCGTGTGTGCGTGTGTGCGTGTGTGCGTGTGTGCGTGTGTGCGTGTGTGTGTGTGTGTGTGTGTGTGTGTGTGTGTGTGTGTGTGTGTGTGTGTGTGTGTGTGTGTGTGTGTGTGTGTGTGTGTGTGTGTGTGCGTGTGTGTGTGTAGATAAATATATAATATATATATATATATATATATATATATATATATATATATATATATATATATATTTCTCTCTCTCTCTCTTTATTCTCTCCAATCTCCTCCATTCTCCCCTCTTCTACCTCACTCTTCCTTCAGCTTCTCTTTCCTCTTCCCCTTCTCCCCTATCCTCTTCCCCCTCCTTCTTTTCCCTCCCTCCTTCCCCTCTCTCTTCTCTATCC